TTACTTATAAAACCCATTTTTTTAATTAAAGTTAATACGTTTTAAACCCAGCAATATGGGAAACCAACTCAGTTGCGATTCGTCCACTAGGAAGATTATTTTCAACTTTCATAATAAAGATTGTTCATACAGAAAAATAGCTTGAACTGTTCTAAGGACATGGTTATGAATGCTATAAAACATTTTAAGAAGTTCAACACGACCGAAAACGTACCAAGAAAACCGCGACCAAGAAAAACTACTCAGCGGGAAGACTCTAAGATTGTGTTGTTGCCATAAAAAGATTTGTTCAAGGAATCAGAACTGATAGGTTCGGAGTTATTTGGTGCAATAGGGTCGAAGGGTGTGACTTTCCATTTAGACTTTCCAATAGGATAATGATCCGAAACATACTGCAAAAGTAATAAGACTTTTTAAGGAACCAGTCTGTGACAGTTTTGGATTGGCCCCCGTACAGTCCTGAAACCCAATAGAAAATTTGTGGTACCAGTTGAAGAAGACAGTGGCGACAAAACGGACATCAAACATCGATAAACTTGACACAGCTTTTAGAGAAGCTTGGAAGCAAGTTCCGGTGGAAGCTTGTAAAAAATTTATCGCTTCCATGCCCAAGCGATGTCGTGCTGTCGTTTCTGCCAAAGGACATGCGAACAAATATTGATACGTACCGGAAAGTTTTATAAATGTGTTAGGAATATTGTGTAATAAAGATAATCTAAGCAAATCGAGTGTCTTTAATTAGCTGGCCAGCTATGAATACGTTAAAAAAGTTTGTGTTACGTTCCCATAGTGTGCAGTGTCTAAACTACTATCGAAAACTATTTTTGTCCCACATTGTAAGAATACAACGTCGTGTATGGTTTAATAACATTGAAACTGGTTTAAATACCAATTTTAGGTAATGTTAGTACCATAAGTAAGTTTTTTGTAGTTAATTAGGGGGTGTCTTTAATTATGTGACCACCACTGTATTTAGTATTATTCTTTTTTAAGGTTCCGTACCTCACGAGGAGAAAACGGAACCCTAATAGGATTACTTTGTAATTCGTATGTCTCTCTGTCAAGATCCTTTATTTCAAAAACGCGTGGAGGAATCAAATTAAAACCACATACTCTGGTCGATGGTCTCGTGAAGCTGTGAAAAAAATCTAACCTCTAAGGTATCGTAAAAAAAGATACGGTAGCGCGTAGGTTGCATACCCACAAATTTGTACAGAACCCTGGGTAGGCGAATCCTACTCGCACTTGTCCTGTTTTTTTACTTTTCTCGGGGCTCTATGGAATGGTGGATTGAGTTCAAACCACCGGTACATTTTCCCGCCCGCCATTTTTTATAAATATTTCATTTATTTTGCCCTAACGGTCTTCTAGAATTACATTAAAGAGAGTTTGATCGGACTTTTTTTCATTCAAATTATTTATTATTGTTACGTTTTTCACAGTGATAGAGGACTTTTGAAAATAATAATATTCAATATAAATTCTCGACAACTCGAAATTATATTATTAACCCCAAAAAATACAGAGGTTTTACTTTGGAAACTAAATGACGTAAGTATATAAAAACACGAAACTTTATTTATTTATTGTCGTTTCGTAGCCTTTACAGGCTTCGCCGTATTCTTATTTATTCTGACGACAAAGCTTGTAAAGGCTACGAAACGTCAATAAATAAATAAAGTTTCGTGCATTAACCCGTAAAAACTAGTCTTATTTAATGAGTGATGTGCGTGAAAACCTAAGAAACAAATATATAAAAACAACCAAACGTTCAAAATCTTGACATAATATAACAAAACATACATACCTTCATAATTTCATTACTCTACAGAATCAAAGAGAATTGCTTCGGTATGACATAGAAAAACAAAAATAACCCAAAAAAGGGATTGAATTGAAAAACACAATAAACTATGGAAGCACAAGTTAAGAAAAAGAACAACATGTTCTTTTTTTGGCAGCACCAAAATGTTCACTCTGTTCTTCTTCTTTACACGACCACGCAGTTCCTTGCAATAAAACAATTAAAACTCATGCACATTTTATATACTTAAGCTCCCGTGTAGTGATATGTGATTCATCGAGTTTGTCGGGCAATCATTCACCAGTCGACAGCTATACTATCAGTAAAATTTTGTTTATCAATAATTTGTCAAAAGAAGCATTTGTAGGTTTGCTGTGGTGATAATATTTGATTTTTGATAAATATTTCTGGCGTGTGAAACTGTTGTCGAATAAAACAAAAATGAAAATTAGCAAAACAATTTTGTTTCTAAGAACGCTAAAGGTTAAATTGAAACTGTTTTTTTTTGTGAAACACCAAAACTTGGCATAAGAATACAAATAGGTATTGTGTTTACTTAATGCCATACACGTTTTCCTACTCACTCACTCACTTTATCGGTAGTTGTATATAATTATATTCATTGTATCTCTAAATATCTTGATGTACAATTTTATTTTCCTGAGATCTTTGGGATGCACTGATTCTAGGCTGCTTTAAACCAAAATCTGGATACAGACTTTATTTATGTACGTACTAATTTTATTCTGTAATCTGAGACACAGCGTCAATCTGCCACCAGAATACAGAGAAGAACACTATGGCCGCAATGTCCACTACTTTTCAGTAGTGGTAGCATAATTGGTCAGTGCATTCGCCCGGATTGCGAAGGGTGCGGGTTCGAGTCCCGTCTGCTGCCTGGTCCGCGTGGAATTTTTTCTAGTTATATTTTATTTAGATGTTACATGCTTTAAAATAATAACTACTTTTCCGTAATCATAACTACCTTTTTTAAGTTATTTTACTTTTTTATTTTACCGGACATCGGGCTGGTGCAATATACTTGTCCTTCTTATCGATGCGTTGCCATACAAAGACGATCATAATACACTAGCCCGTAGTAGCTGGTAAAACAACGGCCGTTAACTGGACGCGCTACCTCGCCTTCGGATGAAAAATCGTCAGCCAGCCCACTGGCTCAATAGCCGGGTTGAAAAGACCAAAGAAGGATTGCGCTTCTTACCACAGGACACTAAAAGAGGTTTCTGTGTTCCTGTGCTTACCTAAAAACCTACACCCTAACTTAAACTTAGTTGAAACTCTTGAAAATCTGTCAGTTTTCCCTTTTCTGTCCGGAAAGAATTCCGTGGGATCCGAAGATTATCCACGTATATTCGTAATCGTAAGAACTTTCTGACACAAGAAACTAACATTGTTTAAAAAAAACCCTAGTGTAAGTAGTTGTCGGTGACTTTCAATATTACACCTAATATGACTTCCGATCAGGATTTCATTTTACTGGTAAGCAAAAACATTTAAGGTCATGACTTCAATTAAAAATTCCACGTGGCCAGGCAGCAGACGGGACCAGAAAAAGCACCCTCCGTTATCCGGGCAGATGCACTGACCGCGGCCGTAATGGCCGTGAATTTCTTCTAGTATGTCTTAGGCTGCAAAGCATCTCTTTGCATTGTGGGTAACCTACAATGTCAAACGAATACCTATACAAGTATGTAACATTTGAAAGAAGAAATAGCAATTGTAGTTGTTTTAAAAGCATTTAACTGCGGGATGTTTAATTCAATTTTTTTTTATAAAATGCCATTTCAAAGTTTAAAGCCCATTGAAATTTTATTGATAGTACCAGTAATAATAATAAATAGTATAAAATAAAAAAATAAATAGTAACAATATTTAATACTTAATAAATGCATTCAGTAATCTTCCGAACAGAACAAACACAAAAATCAGCTATCTACATACTTACCTACCTACCTAGACCTTTTCCAATACGTAATACCACTGGCATCCATTGTCCACAAAAATAGTATCAAGACAATAACTCTTTGTAACTTTGTAAGTACCTACTCGTATAATGTTGTTGACAAAGTATTCAATTGAATTAGATAGGTACATACAATAACTTACTGGTTCACAACAATTAAATAATTTATTTTGAATTAATCACAACAATTATTAAGATCCATAGATAGAAAGATAAGCTTGTACTATTTTGGAAACTAAATTACGTATAAGCCACAAAAAAGAGTACATCAACATCCATAATGCAGACTCTAAAACCGGTTGAAAGGTTAAGTGCGATAAGCTCTAAATTTTAGCTTGTCGCACTTAACCTTTCAACCGGAATTCGAACCCAGGACTAATGGTGCTTGCAAAAACAGGATCTCTACCGTTTCACGCAACCGGTAATCAACCAAATAGATGTATGCACCCCTGACAAGTAGGTACATAGTTCCCAGAATCAGCGTTCGGTGCTGGATCCAATTCTGTCGTATATAGGTCTGAAGATAGGAACAAGCAGTTCTGCTAACGTAACTTACCCCAAGGTCAACTCCTCTGTGAGCGAAGGACGTGTCACCGAGCGGATCCCCACTGCCCACTAGGCTACCGTGACTTGGCTCCCATGGAAAAATAAAGTATTCTTCAATTTCACACTTTTTTTGCTTCATTTTAAAGAAAGGAAGAAACAAATTTTAGTAGCCTTAAACATAGTAATATTAACATAAATAAAACAAGCTAAGATGGGCCAACTAGGTCCCCGTCTCAGCTTAATACTACAGCAACACCAGGGCTGCTGTAGCGGTGATAATTCTGGCAGGGTTTAACGGAAATGTTTGAAGAAAAACCCTAAATACATAATGTTCGATTGACCTCTAGGGCTCCACAGGGTAGATGATTGGGTCTGGGTAGGCAACGGCACGAGTGATAGTTTTGGTATCGTAAGCGTCTAAAGGCTATGGTGGCCGCTTATCATCAGGCGGGCCATATGCTTATTTCCACCCTTTTATCATCACGAAAAAACGGACTTGATGATGACGATACATAAACCTTCCGTAAAAAATATCTAACATAGAAGGAAAGAAAATTCTTCAAATTCCGTGTCATGGGCTAGAAGGAGTTAACGGGTGTACCTGCCTACAGACAAACACGTCAAGCGACTTTACGTGGGTAATACATAGGTTTTATTATTTTCCAGTGCGCTGGCAAACGCGAGCCAGAAAAGGAGGTGGAAGCACAAAGGTGGGTTGAGGCTGTGATCGGCGAGCGGTTCCCACCCAACATGCCCTACGAGCACGCTCTGAGAGACGGCATCATCCTATGCAAGCTCATGAACAGACTGAAGCCTGGCATCATCACTAAGGTCAACGTCTCCGGTGGAGACTACAAGTTCATGGACAACATCAGTCAGTAAGTGCTCGATAGATTTTGCCAATTCTAAGTAAGTTTTAAGAGAGATAGTGCTATCTATTTTGTGGAGGGAGGCCATAGCGAATTTCTGCGTGAGTCTCCCTTCGTCTGTGACTCCTAACCGCTATAACTTGGGTGTTTTTTCAGAAGAAAGTATACAGACCTTTTGTATCTGAGCGGAGCACGCTCATCATCTTTGTTTCCATTCTAGCTTTCTACCTGGCAAATCGGAGACTAACGCGCAAATAGTAAAAAGATATAAATAAATGGAGCGCCTTTCTGATGATGTAACTGCCCACCTTTATAGAAGTATACTGTAAAGTAAGGTTCCAAGATTACACTCCTCGTGCTACGGAAGGCACGTTCAGCCGTTGGTCCCTGCTGCATCTGCAGTCGTTAGCACCCACCAATCTATACTAAGCCTGCGTTGTGGGTCATGACCCAAACTCCCTATTCCATCCGAGAGTAAGTCTGTGACCCTACAGTGGGGGCATTAATAGGCTGATGATAATGATTTTTTTTTGTTTCTATTAAGCTGATGATATTCACAACTACTGTTTCTTTATTCCAGGTTCCAGAAGGCTTGCGTGAAGTATGGCGTACCTGATGTAGATCTCTTCCAAACTACCGACCTGTGGGACCAGAAGAACATTGCTCTGGTCACGACAACCATCTTTGCTATCGGCAGGACGGTGAGTCGTTACTTACTTAGTTAACTTACTTTGATTAACAAATCATAATATAGTAAGGTGCTTAGTGCTTGGCGCACCAAGCACTAAGCACCAAACACCGCAGTGTTTGAATCAATTATCCTAGAGGGTTTATTTCAATAAAAAAAAAATGATTTTATTTATTACCTGACCGATGCCCGCGACTCCGTCTGCGTGGAAAAAAAATCCCATATAAACTTTGACACCCTTAGAGAACTACTTCTGGGATAAAAAACTATCCTATGCCCTTTTCCGGGAATCAAACTACATAGGTACCAAATTTCAACTCAGTCGGTTCAGCAGTTTAAGCGTGAAGAGGTAAGACATGCAGGCAAACGGACACACTTTCGCGTGTGTGTAAAATATTAGTATGGATATGGTTAACAAGAACAACAAGGTACTTCAATGACAAAAGTATCTAAATCTACTCAAGAAAGTTTCTTTTTATCAAAACCAAAAATCTCTTTATGTGTAAACTATAAACTAACATCTATCGGCCCACAAAGCATTTTAAGTTTAAGCGGCCCCTAGCTAAAAATTAATGTAACTTAGAGCAAAATACTCGTAATTTACGCAGATTTACTAACCATATTCTTCGCCTGTTCTTAAAAATATATTATTATTGTTCAGTTCGCCCTAACAAATATTTTTTGCTGCAGACCGTTGAAAAACACTAAGGGGGTCGATAGATGAGTCCAAGAGTATATTAAAATAGTGAAGTTTAATTATCATTACGTCCTCTTTAAACTAAACCCATGCCAACACCAATAAAACCTAGCACTGTCACTCATATTTGTTTCTTAGGTTTTCACGAACACCAATCATTAAATAAAATAAGTTTCAACAGAATAGATGCACTGATTTATTTATTTATGACGTTTCGCATGCTTTTCAGGCTGCGTCGTCAGAATAGGCAGGTTGACTCATGTCGAATTGTATCAAAAATGTTTATTTCTTAAAGTATTTGGTCTAAGGAACTTAAATATATCGATTTCACTTCATAAAAGCAGAAGATTGCTGAAGAAATTTAATTTAAAAAAAAATTTTAGTCTTCAGTTTTTAAACACTAAAAACGCTGTTTGCCACATCCGCCATGATTGTGACGTCTCTTTAGTAGTAAACAACAAAATGTCATTCATATATAACATTTAAACTTGTATTATTAAAACTGATAATAAAGGAAGAGACTTAAAATATTATTCAATGAGTACTTACATCAAAGTGATCTTCGCAAAAATAAATTTTACTATGAGTCGATAAAGTTGCAAGATCCCTTTTAGCAAGTTCTGACCAGGTATTGCGTAGGTTAATTTCTTTCGGCACTTTAATCCACAAATTTCCTGGAGTCTTCAAGGATGTGTTTTTACATTCTCATCCAATACAACAATGATACTTACTATATTTTTCGTGGTATTTATTAAAAATCATGTTTTTTTTCATCATAAACTCAGATACTTAGGTTATTTTCTACGTGCTTACGAGTTTTTCTTTACTACATCGTCATTCATCATCATACATTTACGTCATAGCATAGATAATCTATAGACTAAAATGGCCGACAGCGTTTTTGTATGTCCATGAAAAGTCTATTTTAAAATTAAAGATTTGTAGCTCTCTAGGTCTCAAAAAATACAATACATTTTTTTTCGGTCTAATAAAACATTTATCCACCATTTATAACCTTTTTCCAGAAAGGGTTAACTAGTCTATTCAGTTACTCAATAACTCTGACGACGCAGCCTGCAAAGGATGCGAAACGTCATATATAAATTAATCAGCACTATCACCCATTTCAAATCACTACTTCCTTACAGGCGTACAAACATCCCGAATGGCGCGGTCCCTTCCTTGGCCCCAAGCCGGCTGAAGAGAACCGTCGTGAATTCAGCGAAGACGTTCTCAGGGCCGGCGAGGGAGTTATCGGACTCCAGGCTGGCACTAACAAGGTCGCTACCCAGTCCGGCCAGAACTTTGGGGCGTCGCGCAAAATCATCCTTGGGAAGTAAACGCATCGCTTGGACTACGAGACTAGTGTAAACTCACCATAACTTAATTTAGTCGTTGAAAAAAGGCCTTTACTATCTTATTTTTATTCTTCTTTGTTGTCATAATATCCCAAAGATTTTCACGGGACATTATAATTTTAACGCGGACCAAAAGCAGTCTTATAGACACTACATTTCTTATTATAATTATTGATGGAAATGGAATAGGTACCTTTTTCACAATTTACACTAGTCCCGTCATTATACTACTTGAACATAATTACCCCAGTTGCAATAAAAATCCAGAATAGTATTTGAGATTTAAAATTAAATTGTGATGAGTTTATAATATCAATTTAGAATAGGATAATAAAGGTTTATTTATTGATAAGTAATTCTTTTTACATAGATATAAATAAGGATGGCAGTTGCCTATAAATAGTTAACTTGTTATATTCTACGTCTGTAATAAAATTAATAAAACAGTTAAGGCTTTTGTGTTTTTTAATTCTAGTCAGAAAGCTGTGTACAAAATCGGTAATTTAATTTTTTTGGGTTATACAATGTTATTGCTGCACTATAAAATTATTTTCATGTGCCAAAACTTAATTTATATTTTTTTAACTTTTACTTTTTATTTGAATATTACCTGATACATATTAGTACTGTAAATAGAATGAATGCAGGTAGTTACTTCAATGCGCTTGATCTCTTTCGGGAGGACCTATTCATTTACTCAATAAGAGTGTCTAGAAATACATAAAATGTCAAGATTATTGAAAAACTCTGAGATTTACCTATAACAAAAATAAAATTATTTGTAAAAAAATGTTTGTTTCACTTCAGTAACATCCTTTTACTCTACCCTATTCACTTAGATTAAAAATAAATGGTTTAATCTAAGCCTACTCAGCATACAATTAAGTAAGAAACGCAGGCCTATTTATTCTTACTTGCAACTGATTTTGATGCTTACTACGATCGACTAAAATACCAATTCAGCTCTTAATTAAAACCACTGAGCAAGTGATCTATAAGTGCCGGCACTTCCATACTAGCCCTCGTCCAGAATTAGGTGTGCCTTTTGTACCAACCGTAATAATAAAAAACACGCTACCAACATTCATAGGAAATATCAAAATAGTGATGTCCCTTCCCCGATATCGAAAAAAATGTGGTGTACCTTACCAGATATCGATAAAATAATGCTTCGTGATTAGGTACTCAAAATTTAAATATTCCACTTGCAGCAGTGCAATAATTTCGATTTCACTAAAACTAGATTAAATCCATAGAAAAACGTCAAAATGTTTGTCCGCTTGCCATTATAGAGGCTAAATCTAGATTTAGTTAAATTGAGATAAGCAAAATTGCTGCAAGTAGGTTCACTTGCAATAAATCCCAACACAGCACGCCAAGCAATTAATTACATATCAATGTAGTAATGGAGTATGAAGTCATGCTAGTTGATAACGGGTGTGGTGTCATGGTGGTCAGTCCAGGAAAAGTAGAGGGGTCCTTCCATCCGGCGGGTCAACGCATATCTTCCATAGGTAGTCACTCGGGGAAACAAAGGCTTGGATATTTCAGATTTTTTAGATATAGGGAACGTGCACAACGAAGGTGCTGCCAACATGGATGGTCAATCCAAATCTTGTACTCTATCAATAGTTGACATTGGCATTTTTAACACGTAAACAGAATTAATTTTATTACATGAACATTATTATTCTAGCTAATCATAATGCATTGTTGCATTTCTGGATGTACCAATACATCCACAAAAATTAAAATAAATGAAATAGCGCAAAATTTTATTCATTTCCAAAGAACAATAACTACTTATAAGATGGTTTACCCCATTATTGGGCATTGCTAGTTTTGGATAGGAGAATTTACATAAATAACTAAAGCGCAGATGTGTTAACATTTTCCTGAAACGTCAGTCTTGAATTTACAAATTGCACTTGCAATGTTTCTGTTGCAGTCAAGCTGAAAAAATTAAAACATTAATAAAATTACCTGTATATGTAATTTCAAAAATAAACTAATAAAAAGTATTATTAGTTGAGGCGGTATCAGACGGTTCGCTTTTCGTTCATTTTTGTCTTCCATTCGGCATCTTTCACACGAAATGATTCGTCTGAACCCCAAATGAAACAAGAGTGGCGAATGAATTCAATATTGAACCGATCCGACTTTGTTAGATTAATCATTCGGCATCTTTCACTCCAACTGCGAATGAACGAAAAATGCACGATCTGCACAGAGAGAGAACGTTCACTCGGATTCGGCCATTTTGTCTCGAGCTTGGTAGCAGACGCACGTCGCGTTGCGTCATGGAAAATTGGAAGCAAAATGGTGTTCAAGTAGAATAAGCAAAGTACGCTGCTCTTTTTGGAACATTTTAAGAATAATCAATTTTTATGGAACCACAAACTTGACGCATATACAAGCATAGGACATTACGTACAAACGCTAAAGAATCCCTAATTAGTGATTTAAGCCTCGAGGTTAATGAAGAAGACATCGAAAATAAAATAAAAACTATGTGGACCCGATTTACAACTAAATTAACAAAAAATAAAGCAGTCTACTAAAAGAGGTTGCTCTTCTGACGATATATATCGTGTGCCTACACTGTACTGGTCATAAAATAACATTACTAACTTTTGGATTAAATGATCACTAATTAAACGGATTCCGAGACGCACGACTTCACCCGATGACATATTTAAAGTAAATAACAGATGAACGTTCTTTTCTTTGTCATTCGCCGTAAGTTGTGTGAACATGGATTGAAACAAAAATAAAGCATTCATTCGAGTGAATGTTCACTCGAGTGAACCGTCTGATATCACCTTTAAACTCCGAACGGAATGTTACTCATATCACGATAAATTATTAGAAGATGGTAATAAATAAAAGCAAGGCATTATTCTTTGGTTCATAAATTTTAAGTAATTAAGAAAACATATTACAATCTATTTTCAGAAATCACTAGGCCTTTTTAAAACATAGTGACTTAACAAAGCCTATGTACTTTTATTAAAGGAACATTGTTGTTAGAGTATAAATTATATTTAAATATGTCTTTCACAGCCTTTTATCAAGTGTTTCCATGGAATCCTTAAACAACATTCTAAGTGATTTTACTAACTATTTTGCTTAAATTGCTAGTCGGATTTGAAGTCACATATTTACAATAAATAAAGAATAATATAAAAAATAACATATCCATACAAATAACAATTAACATATCTTCCCAAAAATATATTTCAATTTGGAAAAATGAATATATTTTTATAGGCCTTAAACAAGGTAATGAAATAATGCCTTAGAACGCAATAAATAGTATAATTTGCTTAGAAACATCAATCAGTCTTACTGATAATAAGTACTATACAGTAGAGGTGACTCTATAATCAGTTTTACTGACAATAAGGGCATACAAATGCCTACATTTTTTATAAAAAAAACAACTTTAAGTCATAGTTAACTTATTGATTAGTTATATTGTAATCTTTATAGGTACTATATATTACATGAAACAAAACTTCAAAGAATAACGTATTACTCGAGCGGACCGCTCGTGCACAGTTTGCCGAAAAACTGTCGTATATGCGTGTGTAAAGTATTTTTGATGTAAATTTATTTTAATCGACTTTTCTGCACTACAGGCCTTATTTCAGCATAGGACTTATTTGTATCAGATACCTTACATAAATTGACATCAAGCTGAAAGTGAATAAAATTGTTCAAAAAATAGTTAAAAATACCATTTCAAAATTCTCCATAGTTCCGGTACTTATCAAAATTGCTCGAGGTCAAAGGTAAAATAGTGGGTTTTTACGAATATCATGAAAACGGTAAGTTTTATCGTAAAGTTACCACAAACTATAAATGTAAATACTCTAATTTACGTCGCTTTAACAAGCATAATTGATGTCTTTGAGAGCACTTGTAAATGTTATAAAAAGGCAATGACCTTCTTTTTATCTATTAATCACACAAATTCTTCTTCACTTCATTTGGAACTGCAGACTATACTGATCCCGATTACTGAATTAGTTAATACGTTTATTTATAGACGACCTCCGTGGCCGAGTGGTTTGTACGCCGGGTTTCATGGCTGTCGCCGACTCGAGAGGTCCCGGGTTCGAATCCCGGTGGGGGCAGATGTTTGTGTGATGAATACGAGCATTTGTACTCCAGTCATGGATGTTTAATATGTATTTATATAAATATACTTATATATGTACAGTATGTGTATTCTATCCGTTACCCTAGCATCCCATAACACAAGCCTTATAGTGCTTACTTTGGGGCTAGGCTAATTGGTGTGAGTGTCGGAAATATTTATTTATTTATTTATTATTTATTTATACGTTATATTTTGTTTATAGGTTTTTTTTTGTTTTTTTTTATTAGTTAATTACGTATTTCCAATCAACTATATGACTACAGAAATAAAATACAATTTGTACTGGATCGGTACCTATGTGTTATTTTTACGTACTGTTGGTTTTCCTAATTATTTTAAGTAGCACAAAAATCAAACCAAAAGAGTTCTTAAATTGTAGATCATAAGATTATCTATAAAAAAGGTATTAATATCTTTTTTCCTAAGAGCCACCGTTCCTGAAATATAACGTATATATATATAGTATCGATATGCATCTTTTGTTAATATAATAACACTCGAAATATAAAACTAGTACAGTTCTAAGTTATCAACATCTTTTTCGGGTATATTACCAAGTTAAAGTGTGTCTTGGTTATCAGCTAGACCCAAAAGGCTGGCGTTTGGAAGTTGTTCGACATTACATAGATTAGAACCAATTCAGACTTTACTGCTAAATACAATTTTTGCAAGTGTAAAAAGGGATACAGTGCTAAATACGGTTGCAAAAAAGTTGGACTGTTTCGTTCTCTTTCATGTACGAATTGTCAAGGCCAGTTGTCTTCTAATATTGAATTACCAACAGTAGAGGGTTCGTTTGCTACCAACAAGAGACATGCGTTATATCGCTACTTACGCGATTCACTTAACAAGATGAAGAAGAAGAAAAAGAGGAAGTTATTGAGGATTATGAATCCGACGAATAAATTTTTCTACTGTTTTTATTGCCATCGCTTTTATCAATTCCAACCCTTGCTAATAATATCCGTTATTATGCAATAGTTTCCAATTAACCATAATCACAACAAATCTGTAGAATAGGCCTACTGGGGAAACCGTGTTACAACGCGCTAAGTACACCTCAGAGGTGGCGTGAAGAAGTAGGTACACCTCAGAAACATCGTAAACATAGCGGTTTACCTTTCATTCAATCAACTCAATTATAAAAAAATAAAGAAAACATTTAATTTACATAAACGTTATGCATAAGCCGTGAATCATTATTTTTTAATAATAAACCTGTA